TAATTGAAAGGATGTATATTTCTTTTTCTAAAGTCAGCAGAAAAATCCTGGCCTCTTAATGATGAAAGACTTTTTAAAAAACTTTCTCCTAAGCACAAGTAGCTGAAGTTTCCACTTTAAACTTGGGTGGCTCATTCATATTTCACTTTATGGTAATATGGTATCCTCTCTCTTTCTTCCCCTCCTTACCACCAAGACTAAAAAGGGGGGGGGATATAAAATGTTTCTGAAAATTACAGGAAATGTCTGTTCCTTAAACAGCTTTGCCAGGGAATTTCCAAATGTGCTTAATGCTTATAGCTGAAGTTGCAGCAGCTCAGTCTTCAATCATGAGTGGATCCTGTTCTTAAAATGTGACACCTCCTTCCTGTAAACTATGTTGAAATTAAGTATATGCTTTTGTTTCTCATCTGCTCTTCAACAGAATTAATCACACCCTGTGATGAAATGAGGGCTCTTGGGGGCTGCTTTAAAAACTTGATTCACATCTATTTATTAAAGTGGGGAAAACAAAATATAATGTCTTGAAGTGAGAGCTGATTTGTTTTTAAGAACATTGGAAAGGTGTGACTGACAGAAGGAGTCACGGCATGGCATGGATGGCATGGAGAGGCAGGTACTGCTGAATGTGAAGACTGCCTGACAGCTTTCAGAGGGACTTCAGGAGCTGCACTGAAGCACTAAGGAACAAAAGGGGAGATGCTTTTTGTCTCAGGATTTTGTTTCCTTGGGCTGGTGCAAGGTGGTCTCAGATCATAGGGCCCTGTCTCTAGGCAGAGCCTAATCAGTGCTGAGCATTAGTTTAATGTTAATTTCTGGGATGAGATTAGTAAAGGGGATAGCAACAAGTATGATGAGTAGGATGAGTTTTCTCTTTGTTCTCTATTGCCTTCTGCCAGGCTTTTGCCACTGGATTATGGGAAGGAGCAAGGGAGGTCTGCAGAGCCTCTTTCTGAGGCTCAGAAAGGAATGAGAATATGGAGCAGGCAGAGGGGGGAAAAGGACCCAGCCCAGTCTTCAACAGATGTTCTCATCCAGCTCTCTGCCCTGCTGCTCTCACATACATATGCCTACATACTAATGATGAGAAGAGAGAGGATCTCCTGCCTGGGTCCTTCTAGGGAAAAACACATGGTCCCAGTCAAGAGATGAGTGAACAAAGCCTGTTCTGGGTGGTAACCTGAAGGGTTCTCACCCCATGTTCTACTGCTGCCATTTGTCTAAAGATAGAGAGGTGGTTGATCCCTGTCGTTTTTTTCCTTGTGGGATGCTGTGGGTTTTCAAGGCTGTTCACCATAACATCCCCAGCCCTTTGCTGGGGTGGCTCTTCTTTGTTGCCATATCCTTTACTCCGTGTTTCAGAGCCACTTCTGGATCTCACAGCAAGGCACTGCTTGGCAATAATTTATTGTCATGGTTTATATCACAGTGATTAAGGGAAGCTGTCATCTCTTGGCAGCTATGATTTGAAACTTGGGTTTAGCTGCCCAGGAAACAGTTTGGAACTGACACTGATGTGTTTATTCTTGCTTCCTTGTGTAAAAGTTGTGATTTAATTTGTTCCTGTTGGAACAGCAGGTTCTTTGGGTAGAAGTTGTATGGGTATGACTATGTGTAATGATTGGTGACACTAGTGTTACCCGTTTCCAGTGCTGTCTTTTTAAGAGTGTGGAGGGCTTAATTTCACAAATGTTCTGTTTCATTGGTCTCTGTCCATGCAAAATACAGCTGTATTCACACTTACTTGTGGCAATCTTTCACATTAATAGGTACTGAACAAAAGATTGTGAATTTGTTTAATTCCATGCAAATGCATCACCTGTTAATGCTGAGTTACATACTGATTTTCTAGTAGTGAGGTCTGTCAAAGAGTTTGGAAGGCTATCACTGGTTAGTTTTTTGTTTGTTGAGGATTTTTAAAGCATCTCCAACTTTTTTTTTTTTATTTCAATTTAAAGATACAAGAGAGATTTGCTGTGGGGGGTTTTTTCTCTTTTCTTTTAGAAAATCAGTGCAGCATAACTTTCTATGTTGGACCCATTCCATGTAAATTAATGTCAGCATTCATAAATAACTTCTCAGCTAGGTTTTCATGTGTTTGAGGGAGTTGTACAGCACTTGATTGCACTGAAAGTGTAAAATACATTTCCTGGTTTGGGTTGGGGGTGTTTGTCTGGGGTTTTTTGGGTTTTTTTAATCTTGTAATAAGGATTTTATTACTATTATTATTATTAATATTATTATTTTCCTATGTTTAGGTAATTCCTTCAACTGGCCTTTGTATGTGGACCACCTTCTGTCCTGTTCAGCCCATATAAACTGTGACTTAAATGTAGGTGAGTAGCAGCTTTTGACATGAAGTAGTAATGAATTCATTAAAAATTCATACTTCCAGAATTTTCAGTTGCTTTGACTTGGAGGTCACAGAGGGAGAATTAACTTTTAAAAATCCATAGACACTTTTCCTGGTTGTCTAGTGTCCCGGGCAATAGGAACCTAAAAATATAATGTATTATAGTATATATTTGAAGTGGATTAAGTAATCTTTCATTCTGGTTACCACAGACCTATATGCTGTGAACCTGCAGTGGAAAAGTATTTTGAAATGGAAAGAACTTCTCGCTCGTATGGGTGGAGAAGGGAGTCCCCAGATGAAGTCTGAGTCTCTTTTGAATAGAGTGATGTAACATATCAACAGCGTGCTCTAATGCTTCCCATGAGGCCATGTTCTGCCAGTCAGGTTTCCCTGCAGTCACACTGAATAAATGTTTATTATTTCACTGGGAATGTCAGTGAGATTGGCTTCTTGCTAAAAGCAAGTGATGATAACCTGGCTTACTGCTTAGAGATGGTGATGGTGCACGGATGATATTTACAAGAACATTGCAGGTGCTTGAGAGCTATGCTGAGTAGGTCAGGAAAATGTGATGGTTTGGTGTGCTTTTCGGTTTTATTTTGAAATCATATAATGTATTATTTCAAATATGGCTATTTGTATGACAGGAAATATGTGTTACCTAAATGGAAGGCCCATTCCTCTTGCTTAGCCCATCTGTCTCAGAGTGCCAGTGGTAAAAATGTTGCTGAGCAGTAGGTGTAGAAAGAGAGTTACCTTAAAGATCTTACACTGCATAAAAGACATCCAGTTATTTGTGGGAGGTTGATTTCCTTTCTGACTCTCTCTCTGTGTTTTCAGATTGGTGAGCACAATAAAGTGGGGAGAGTTTTCTCTAGAACTGGTAATCAAAGTTGAGTAATTAGTCAAGCAGGATGAAGGACAACAGAGTATTGAATAGGAAATCCACATTTATCTATTTTTTTTCCAATGCATTACACTTGCCTTTCTCATGGTTGTAGAGTGTGTAATCTAAAATGCATGTGGCTGGTATTTCTGCAAGGAAGAGAAAATCAACACAATGCATTTTGGCTGCATATATAGATCAAAGTACAGCTGTGTTAAAAGTAGAAGAGGGAGCACCCATAGGTAAGCAAAGGAAAACAGGATGAAATTTTTTAAATGCTTCTTTTTTATGAACATGGTACATGAGTGACATTAAAAAAAAATTAAAATCTATGTGTTGTTTCTATTTAAATGACTTTCTGTGCTGCTGTCCAGTCTTGCACCAAAGTGGAGTGTGCTCAGAGGGGGTGGAATGTGTCTGTTCTTCTACCTCCCTGCCAGGAAGCATGAGGAAATGATGTGTTTATGAGATAGTGACACTTATTTGAATCATCCAAAAAGCTCAAGACACCCTCATTCCCCTGAGCTGAGGGAATCACATGAGCCATTGTTAACAGAGCTCTTTGAATTGACAAGTTTTGTTATCTCACTCCTGTGTGTTCTGCACAATGGCAGGTAATACATACTCTTCTCTAACTTCAGCTTATGTTTTTTCTCCCAGACTTTGCACTTTATTACACAGTTGTTGATCTCTGGACTTTACTGGCTTGCTTGCTGAATTCAAAAGAACAGCTATTCCTCACTTTCAATTAAAAATTTTATTTCCCTTGTGCTCCATAGACACTGTGTGTTTCTGGCCACTGAGTAGCATCTTGAGCAAGGCTTGGACTTGTCTCAGCTGTCACTTAGTCTCTCATAGCACTGGGAAAAGGAACCATGCAGAACACAATTTATTTCCATCTTTTGGAGGCTGGTGAGGGAATGCTGTGCCAGTCATAGGTGCTGGTGGAGGGGAAAATGTTCTTGCAGGAGTAGGAATTCACCCTCTGGTCCCTGGATCTGGAGTTCCTCTCTAGTTTGTGTAGGCTCGTTTGTCCAGTATCATGTGTGGCTGTGCTAATAGGGACTGCTGTTGATGGTACTGGCACCAGCTATTGAACCACTGGCCACTCCCAGTAACACCCAAGCCAAATGCCCCTTTTGTAACAGCCAGCAGTAGTTTGTGCTCTGCAGTTTGAGATGTTCTACATTTGCATTTTAATTCAGCTTTTCGATTTTTGTTTTACAATGGAGCCGACTCTAAGAACCATGAAGGGGACTCTAGGGGGTGACAATGTTTTTCTCATATCTGCATGTGTTTGCCTATAGAAAGTAGAAAAATTCATGGTTTAAAAAACCCTACTCCTTCAGATGTCTCACTGAGTTCATAAAGGCTGCCCATCAGGACCTTGTTCAGGTGCTGTAAAGTGACTTTGTTGGTGTTTTGTGTGACGTAGGTGGGAGCACTGCTGCAGGCTCCTGACAAAGCAGGCATTAGTGATGTAGCCACCATTTATGACAGCAAGGTTCAACTTCAAGGTTACCTTCTTACGTGAGGCAGAAGTCTTTCAGAGATTGTAGCAGGGCTTTGAGAAGCTCTTTGCTAGTTCCTTAACTGGGGTAGAATTAGAGACTCTTGTTCTGAGAGCTTTTAAAATATATTCCTGAAACATCTACCTTTCGTCCCCAGAAGTATTTGAAAGATGTGTAGATGTGGAGCTTAGGGACATGGCTTAGTGCTGGGCTTGGCAGTGTTACTTCAACAGTTGGACTCAATGATCTTGGAGGTTTTTTCCAACCTAAATAATTCCATGATTCTATATGAGCTAAAACCTGAGAATTCAAACAATCATCCTGTTGTAATGGAAAGGAATTGCTTGGAGTCAAATTGATAGCAGTAGAAATTAGGAGTGCATACAAAATGTGAGTTATTGTGACTGAAAAACCAAACACGATCACGTAACTGAAAATATGGCACTTGCTTATTTCACTGCATCTGAGCCAGTTGGGATGGGGACAGGAATCCCTGAGGCAAGAGATCCTGTAGTTCTGTGGCAGCATTAAACAAACATGTAAACATTAGTAATCCACTGTTGTTTGTATGCAAGATAGTGAGAGGATTGTTAGTTTCGTTCTTTAAACAATAAGGAAAAGCTGTAAAGGTACTGGGCAAGTGTGGAACACATCTTTTCAGTTTCAGAGTAAGTGAAATGTTTAATTTTCTTGTTTAAAAGTGCCAGTGTTGCAGTCCCTCTAGAAGGAGGAAGCAGCCATGGAGTGTTCCCAGTGGGTACATGAATGACTCTGGGGGAATTCTCATGGCTCAGTTATAGATCACTTTTCATAATTCTGATTTCAGCATGTAACACCCTGTGACTAGGATGGCTTCCTAGCTTTAAGGTCAGCAGCATAATGGCCTGTTTGGGGCAGTGCATTATATGTCATCATTTTATGACACTATAATACCATTGAGATCTAAGTTACATGAATAAAGAGAAGCTGAATGATAAGAGCAGTCATGAGGAAGGGGATGAGTGCTCAAGTGTTTACCTAAAGCAAGAGGCTGCCAGTTCTTCTTGTTTAGATAGGCCCCAGGGAAGAGTCCCAAACTCTGATAATTCCAGAAGCAGAGAGTATTAAGAGAAAAACCTGTACTGCATAAAAATGTTGTTTCTCCCCTGCACCACTGAGATGTTCCTGTCAAAATAGGACTTCAATTGCAGTAACTCGAGGTGACATTATTAACTTAATATTGTTACCTAACACTGTTAAGTTCATTGCTTTCAAGCCATGGGCAAAATCCTTTCAAGGCACTTGGTGTGTTAAGGTAATAGGGCTATTTAAAAGGATTCTTGACTGAAGCCCACTTGCCATATGTTCTTTACATGCTCTTTACCCTATCCCCAGATATGATTGGTTTGAGTTCTTCACAAGAGTCTTTTGAAACAAACTTCTGTTGCTGTATGAAAGTGAAGGCTGAGACAGCAAACAGTATTCTTTCAGAAGATAAGAAGCATACCCAAACTGAAAGTTGAAAATTAAAGATTAAGTATTTCTAACAGCATCCGTTTTGGAGTTCTGTACTTTTTCAGCTGCTTTATTTTTCTGTTATTACTTGGACTTTAAGTCAGCAATTTATCCATCAAAACAAACTGTCTAGTTCACGAACAAACTGTCTAGCTTACAAAGGAGCTGGAGCCAATTCCCACTAGAGCCAGTGGAAAAGTTTTCATTGAGTTCAGTGGATTTGGTATCTGGCAACCTTTTGATGTGAATAAAAGAGAATCAAAATTTGTGACAGGACATGTTAAGAGAAAGTTTAAAAAATTGCAGAATACTGTTTTCCTTGGGGGGAGGAAATTGACATAACTATCAAGATTCCTCCCCCCCCCCCCCCCCTGCAAAATGTCATTTTGATAATAATTTGTCTTTTGATACCTTCCTGAGACCAGTGTATAATGACTGCTCTTTGAGGGGGAGCAAACCTGCCAACTAGGTTCTTTAAAACATTTAATAAAAACTTGGTATAGTATATTTTCCAATATTTTTACTGTAGTTTAGATCAATATGCATTTCACTGCTGTGTGCTTCCATTTATCTGGGCAAGCTTAACAGCACTGTCACAACAGCACTAAATCAAGGACAAATGGAAAAGCACGTTTTGTCAACCTAATGTCTGTCTATGTGGAAGCTGGTGTTTTTCTTGTATTGCCACATGAAACTCATGAAAAAACTGCCAGTTTCCTCTTTTGGGTTGTTAAGGTGAAGTTTGTATTTTTGTAGAATTTATTTTGCTTAAGATTGTGTAAACGTAGATTTGTACAATATATCTACAGACCAAAACATCTTCAGACCTGGGATTTCCCACTGCCAAATGCAACTGGCCTGTTGGTATAACAGGACTTTTAATATAAATCTATTGATAGTTTGAATTCATTACTTCTCTTGCAATTAAGGTAAATAACAAACATTTCAAACAGAAGCAGCAAGTCCACTCTATAAAATCTAAGTTGAAATGTAAGCCAAATCCCTGAAGGGTGCAGCCCCATGGTGGGTCCTTTCTGAGGAGTGTTCCTATAAGGACTTGTGCCATCAGAACGTGTTTTGGGAGACCCTGAGGAGCCCAAGGGCAGCTGTGAGGCCCTGGGACCAGGAGGGGGTTAAAGGTGTCAGGGTTTTACTGCTCTGCTGCTGCTGCTGCTCTTTCAGCTGACGTTGTTCACATGCTGTCAGTATCTAATTTTAGAGAAGTATCATTTGTTTCAGAGATTATTTAGCATGAGTGCTGGGGGTTACACACCTCACATAAGCATCACACAGCTCCAGGAAGAACAGAAGAGTGCTCACTGCTTTACCTTCCAGTTGTGTGAGACCTCATCCATCTCTGGTGATTAATTCAAATGAAATGCTTGTGTCCTGATGTGACATCTTGTCCTGGCTTCTATTCAAGCATTTCCTTCAGAGAGGTGGATGTAATTTTGGTCCTTTCTTTTGTGTAGTTTCAGTTCCCCAACTTGCGATGCTGTTTCATGAAATATTTTCCAAGCCTTTAAGCTTTTAAAATGTTTAATGTTTAAAAGTTTTAAAAACAAATTTTACTTCTTACTAAGTGGTGCAGTGCTGAAATGCATTTAAATAGTTTTGCTATTGAAAGGAATACTGTGATTTAGGGCAGTATCTCTTAATTATGTTCTAACAAAGTCTTGTGAAGAGGCAGAGCTAGTGGCAACAAAAGTCTGCAATTAAGGCAGGGTATGTTGCCTGAAATACAAGATAATTGTCCAGGCAAGATAGTTGGAATGGATTCAGAGCCTGTAGTTGCCAATGCTCTCTCTAGGTGTTTGGCACATGCAGCAGAGAGAACTCCTCAGGAATGTGTTTATTCCATGGTATGGCCCACTGTACAGCTAAGCCTCAGAGCTGAATGTTTTGTTCTGCAAAGTTTCATGGCCTCATCTGGTTTGTGTTTTTTGTTTTTTTCATCTTCCCCTTCTCACAGGCTCTCAGTCTGGTGTAAAGCTGATGGGTGGGAGCAAAGGTAAAGAATGATGTAATGCAGCAGCAGCCAGAAAGCATCTTTTGTGTGGATTGTGAAATGGCTACTCCGTAGTCATCTCCCGATGAATCAGACGTGAGGGGCCGCTTTGTGGAGCCAACCCTTTGTACATCAACTGGAAGCAGGAGGAGACATTCAGTCCAAGAGCTCTTTCTGAAAATGGATTTAACTTTTCTTTTGCCAGTCACCACCAGCATGACCTCATACACTTCTAGTACAATGGTGTGGCTAAGCCTTTGAGTACACAGCCATTACATCATCGCAGCAAATTAGAGAGGGAGGTGGGAGAGAGGCCTCGTTGTTGTCATGGCCGATGAGATGAGCAGGACCCAAGTCATTGTCCCAGAGAAGCTGGTGGCTCTGCTGGAGAGCGGGACAGAGAGGTTGCTGCTGATTGATAGCCGCCCCTTTGTGGAATACAACACCTCCCACATCCTGGACGCCATCAACATCAACTGCTCCAAGCTCATGAAGCGCAGGCTGCAGCAGGACAAAGTGTTGATCACAGAGCTCATTCAGCATTCAGCAAAACACAAGGTAGGGGTTATTTTCCTCTTATTCCTTGTATTTGTTTAAAGGAGTGGCTGGAAAGCAATTTGTAATAATTTTTCCTTAGGTATTTAGTTAAATTTAAAAAAAAAAACAAAACAACAAAACAAAACCAACCAAAAAACCCCTAAAAACCAACCAAAACCCAGCAAGATTAAAGGACTGAGTTTAGCTGAGATGTTACCTGATCAACAAGGGTATTGGATACTGTTGAGTTTATCACTGGGATTTTTGGTAGCATCTTTAGAAATTACTCAGAAAGAATGTTCTCAGGGTTCTTGTATATCTTGCAAAGCAAGTCCCTCAAATGTATCTACTTAAAGCAGGAAACATTCTCTCCTAAACTTTGAAGAATTCTTGGGGGTCTGTGATGGTGGGGCTTGCTTAGCAAGTGGTCATTTGGTTTGCCCATAAACTGCCTTTCTGTCAGTCCTGGCTCTACTTGCTGTTTAAAGGCCTTTTCAGGGAGGCAGTTCAATGAATTTTGGTGTGTATCTGTGTGTGTGTGTGTGTATGGAGGGGTTATTGGCACTTTTTTATGATATTTGTTTCATTATTTCATTCATTTGTTTTGGTACAAAAATAATCTACTATGCTCTAGCTTTGACATGTTAAAAATGAAGATTTTTATTTTTATTATCTAAAGAGTATTTTATATATAAAGTTGTGCAGGTAACCAAAACTTGTGTGGCTTAGAAGCAGTTCAAGGTCTCTTTACTGTTCATGTACAAAACCCTCAGAAGCAGAAAGTGAGGCAGGGCCATCTTCTAAAAAGCTCAGCTTTTAAACAAATCCTCCAGTCTAACTGAAGGCAGAGCAATTCACAAGTGACGTAAAATGACCAAATGATAGAAATTTATGGAGTGGGCTTCAACTTGCAACAAATAATCATTTTACAAACTCTCCAGGCAGTTAAATCTGAGAGGCTTACGAAGCATAAAATAAAAACTCTTTAGTGAACAGGTGCATAAGAAATCTATGTATCTGAACTGCTGTCATGGCAAATATGTGGGAACTCTGATAAAGGTGATAATGTGGTGCTTTTAATCATCTTCCTCCTTCCTGTTTTACTCAGAGTTCCTTGTGTTTCAGATTGAAGTTGATTGCAAGCAGGAAGTGGTGGTGTATGACCAAAGCTCTAAAGATGTGACCTCTCTCTCATCTGATTGCTTTCTTACTGTGCTCCTGGGCAAACTGGAGAAGAATTTCAGCTCTGTGTATCTGCTTTCAGGTAAGATGTAACAAAAGAAACTCCTTTCAGGTGACATGTGCCAAAAGAAACCTTTGAAACACTTGAATAAAGAGAAGAAGGAAAATGCAGACCTGTACAGTTGTTCAAGTGCTGGTATAAACTTCAGTTATAGCAGAGGCATTTCTGTAGTTCTTTTTGCATATAGTGGCACTCATAATACATGCAGTGCTTAGAAATTGCATCTTACAGGGGATATATTATTACATCATTACTCTGTGAATGGAAATGAAGCAATGCAGAGGTTTTTAGATGCATATGTCTTTCTACTTTAGGGTTAAAAAATAGTAAAAAGAAAGGGGCTTCCCTGTTTTTTTTAAGTATTGTACATGGTAGGAAGAAAATCTCTTCCTTACTGAATTGGTAATTACTAAAATAAGAACAAAGGAAATGATCTCCCAGAGTTACAGAGATTAGTTTGTGTGACATTTTAAACTTCAGCTCGTTACGTGGTAGCACTTTATTTAGGTCTTTTCCTTCGGCCTTTTTTTTTGTTTGTTTGTTTTTGTTTTTAATTTTAAATCCCAGGTCAAAGCACCTATAGAAATTCAATTCCTTATAATATAGGATTTTCTGGTCTCAGCATGTGCTTGTGTCATTATTTCTGTCGTGGAACAGTAGACAGTGTTCAAAAGAAGAAGCAAGGAGGGGCATGAAGTAGATCCAAGGTTGAAAGAAAAGGGAATGATGAATTTAAATAGGAAATCCATTGCAGTGACTGGATCAGTGATCTAATGAAGTGCACATCTAGTGTCTGAGAAATGCTGAAACACAGGGACTCAGTAATGGTGAGAGAAAGGAAACAACTCCAGAGAGATGCTTCCTCCAGTTTGTAGTGACTTCAGATGAGTGACTTCAGTGAGAGGTTGTGGTACTGAGAGAGCTTTTCTCAACTTGTTTTGAAAATGATTACAGTGAAAGTGAATAATTTCTGCACTTGGACATGGTGCTCATGTGAGCTTTACGTACAGTAAGCCAAGTGGGTTTTGCTTTGGCTAGGGTTGATGTTTTTGTTTTCTTTCTGTCTAGGTAAGAATTACACCTGTGGGTGGTGGACTATAATATTAGATTAAGTAACTCTTCTTACATATGAGCCACCAAGAATTGTGTGGTGTGTAGGCACAGTAAATGCTTAATGCAAAAGTGCTGAAGTAAGTGGTTAATACTCTCTTGAACTGAAAAGTGTTATTTGAAAAATAAGCCAGCCTAGAAACAGTTTGTATCTCCTCAGAAATCCTTTTATTGTTCGAATTCCCAACTCTGCTCAGCTGTCCTGAAGCAGATTACAGCTCCAGGCAGGAATCAGACTATCCTCAACTTAATTTCCATGATAGAAACAGCTCTCTTACAACTGAGAATTAGACCTCATGGCAGGGAGGTGTTGGGGAGGGGCCAAGGAAAGTGTCATGGACTTCCCTTCCTCACACTGTTCCTCATTTGTGTTGAGACAGGGCTTTGGTCTTCTGTCACATCTGCTGGACCCTCTAAAGAAGTGCTCAGACTTGCCTGTGGCTCTCGTAGGAATGGCCAGGACCAGGAAGGGAGTGTTCCCAGTGCCTCATCTGGGCAATCACCAGTTGCGTGTATCATAATGATCCTGGGAGAAATGGTTTTGTTTTCTTTTCATTTCCAGCACGTGGTTGTTGTCTGATCAAAATGAAAACATTACCTAAGCCACAAGCAAGGTGCTAGTGCACATGAGCTGAGGTGAATTTAGCCACACACAGCTGGTAAGGGTTAGTTTGGGAATCTAATGTGTCAAAATCCTCCTTATAAAAAACAGGACTTTTATTTTAGCATGTCAATGGCAAAGATCAGGTTTGAGAATTTCCTCTTATATTTGTTTACATAGCTAGGATGGGGATATTTATGGATACAGAAACAACTAATGGCTTTAAAACCAGTGGAGAAGGAGGATAAGAAAAAAGGGAAATATAAGGAAATTATTTACTACTGATCTATTACAGTTAAGTGCTTATTTCATGTGCTTATTGTTTACATCTGTTAAAAATCTAGCTACTCAATGCACACACAAGAAACCTTTTAGGATTTGGAGTAAAGGAGAATTGGGTAGATTCAGTCTTACAGAAAGCTCCTTGGAGTTTATTGATATGTGGCTGTAGGAAACTAGATAAAATATGTTGTCTCAGCAGCTGATGACGAACTCTCATAAATGTTTATGGCCCATAATGAGGGCAGGGGTCAGTGTACTGTGTAAAAAGGAAAACCTTTGGACTTGAGTTTTCCCTATGCCACTAAATCTGGTTTATTTAAAATAGTGACCTTAAATAAACATTTTGGGGTAGGAAAATATTTTTTGTTGGGATAGAATAAGAAGCAATTAATGAATATCTGAAATTCCTGCCTCTGTTCTTGTTGAAACCCCCCATTACTAAGCACTTAGTGAGGTGGTTTTTTATTTAGGTTGTGCATAAAGGTGTGCTCTGCCCTGGAGGTTGTTTTTCTTTGAAGTAACTATTGTAAATACCTGAAAGGAACCCTTACCAATTAGTTTAAGATCTTGATATAGCCTCATAAAAATATTTATAATCTGGTGAGGAATGTTTTCAGGAATTAAATACTCCATTTGGTTCTTAATTTTTAACAGTGCACAAAATACTGAAATGTGGACACCAAGGGCTTAATTCTATTCCCATCATGGTGTCTACTCTGAGTTAAGTAAGATTTAAACCCAGGGATGTCACTTGATTCCTTCTCATATGTTGACAATTGGATTTACTTGCAATGGAGTCCTGTTCCTAGTTAATAGTGTTATGATTTTCCTGCTTGCTCTGCAGAAACAGGAGAGACTAGTAATTTTTGCTTGAATGATCATTATTAAGGCAGTAAACATCACGAGTCTTGATTAAATTCTATTCCACTATGTGAATGGAAGCATTCATATTCTACTTTCCTTAAATACTTGCTCTCCCCTGCTTTTAATCTGGCTTAGTTCTGCTCATGTAAGCACAGATGTCTTTATGACAGTTGCTTTTCAAATGTTTCCTGTGAAGAAGGTGAAGTGCAGCCTTTTATTTTGTGTTAATTTTTTTAAACTTTTTTTTTGTTCAGAACACTTTATCTTAACAGAATGCTTTCTGAAAAACAGGAAAAAACCCGAAACCTTTCTGTATATACAAACTGTCATTAAAAGTTGTGATAGCCTAACACTGAAACACTGTATGCCCCTCTCTCAAAAACAATGGTTGGTAAGGAATTGACTTCTAATCTCTTGCTACCCTTCTGCCTATGAAAAATATCAGTAGTAATGTGATGTAGTGGATTCCCCCTTCATTAAAGCTCTCTGAAAAACTCCTGGAGAGCACAAAGGAGTAATAAGGAGAAATAAATAAATAAGTTATTGGGGTTTTATTCAGTGACAAATGTTGGGGTCATATGCACTGGACAGTGAAGGGTATCCTAGGCAGAATGAGTCCAGTGGGATTGGACAAAGGTCCTGGAAACAAAGCAATGAGTGATACCCAGGGAGTGTGGCAAAAGATATGTTTTAGCTGAAACTTCCTAATTCCTTGTTTCCCCCTGACCTGTCCCTCACCTGACAAGGTGTGTGTACCAAATGGAAAACTTGCATGGAGGATCCGAAGGAAGCAAATCTGGAACTCTTCTTCAGTCTTTTTTATCCTGCCATTCGTTTTAGAAATATTTGAAATTGGAAGCCCATTTAAAGAAATCTTTAGTGTAAAAATAGTGAAGTTTCTCTAGGGTACATTCACCATTGGGTTGTCTTACTTGCCTAAAGAAAAGCTACATAAGAAAAGCCCAGTGCTTTCTCCCTGCTTTATCTCCAGATGAAGCATTCCTTGTGGCAGGGGAGCAGGAAATCTGAAGAATATTCTCTTGTAGCTGGTCATTTCCATGTGTTGAAGGGACCAGGGCTGTGAGACAGGGCTTTATTCCCAGTTTCTGCAGTCCCCTATGTCAAGTAAGGGCTGCCATGTGGTTCAGTGTGGACTGAAAGAAGGCACAGGGTTTGATGAAGTCCTGGCAAAGGTCCTGATACCTTTTAACATTTGGATTTGCAGCTTTGTAACTTTCATTTGTGGCTCACTGATGTTCCGAATGTTTCCTACATGTAAGTCTTTCCACAGTACCCCAGCACAACTTAAAATGGTGATGTCATCAATTAATATAATCAGGTTATCTGTGATTTGAAATAAGTATAGTGAGAATGAGCTGTTAAATATCCTGCCAGCATTTGGAGGAGGAGAGATTGTTGCATAATGATGCCAGATTTCCTGATGCCAGCTTTCCTGATATTCCCACCCATTCTAATGGTTGATTCCATTAGAAGGAAGCCTCTACTGAGAAAGGTAAAAATCTTGCTGAGAGAATGCAATATTCCCTAAGTGGTCCCATAACCCATGGAGTACAGCCAGTGTTGGTGGGGAGGAGAGGAGAGTGAGAGAGGAGCTTTGCTCTAAATCATTCCCTTGAAAAGTCTCCCTCTCCATCAAGTTTTAAGAGAGCTTAGAAAAGCTAGTACCCTTGGTTACAGCCAAGCCTCTGTGAATATCCTCCCACCCTCTGTACTTAAAATGCAATTTTCAGTGTTCATTTAGTGCCATAATTGTTTTAAGCACTTGAAGAATGGGAGTAGGGTTTATTACTTTCATATGTGTATCCACTTGCTGTCTTTTGAGAGAGAGCAAGGTTTGACTAGAGTAGAGTTCACATAACATTTTTCAAACCCAAGAATAACTTGTTAAGTTTGCTTTTGTTTTGGATACCTCTGGATGCTTGTGAAATTTAATTGACTGAAATTACGGTGCAGGGCTTTGGGGTTTTTTCCCTTAAAGGCAGAAAGGGCAGTGTGGGTGTCCACTCTTGTCACTTGGTACTTGCCGTGCCACTTGGAATATGGCACTTGGGTGGGATGGGAAGCTTGACCCCATTCACACATCTCCCCTTCCTTATTTGCTTAACCTGCCTATTAACCTTGTCTTACCAAAGGCAGAAACCCT